TCGATTGAAAAATGGAATTCTGTTGCGGAATTCGCGGGACCACTTGGAACATTTGCTTTTATTTGACCGATGAATGATTGGAGGCGCTAAATCTCCAGGAAGACTCGTTCGGGAGAAGAGGTGTGTCCAGATTTTGTAAATAAGATGCAGATTGGAGTTTTGCTTCCTGGTTCAATGGTCTGTAACCGGTCAGTTGGCATTTCCGAATAAATAACTCCGCAGCGAAGGCCTTCTTCCTTTCACCGGTAGAGCGGTGGTGTCTGGGTCCCTTTTGGTGATCGGTATGGTGGCGGGTCCATGTTCTGTGCAAGGATTCCATTTTAGTTCTCCTTACGTACAAATGGGTCCTTATGAAAATTCCGGTCCTTCCTTAAGCGAGAAAATTTCGGACTTTGTTAGGGTCAGTTGATCTCTCTTGAGATTGACAAACTTATTCATGGATAGTGGCAGTACAGGAATTGGAGGAAGAATGCGAGCAGCATCATTTGCTTATTCGGTTCCTGTAACAGGACGGAGCCGTACAAAACAAAGAAGTTTAGCAGATCTCCGACAGGGCTACCGAACTTTTTAGTAGGGAAGCATCGTCACATAAGTTGTCTTGGTTGTTGTGAGCAAGAGAATGGTGGTGTTATAATATGCGGTCCGGCGCCAAGAACTGACAAGTGATAAAAAGTGCCGAAATACGTTTGATATGTAGTCATACTAAGTCAAAACTGAAAACATGTCCTGGTGTTTGTTGTATAAGCCTGAAGACTAATTATCACACTAGTGGTTTAATTGTAGGTGGTAGCCGTTCCAATCAGGCCAATGCAAAGCAATATCATTTTCTTGTTTCAGTTCATCTGCGAAGTTTGACAGTGGATGTGGTTGGCCCTCATTTTATGAGGCGGCTGGTGCCAAGGGACGGGATGAAACGGGGAGCAACATCGCACGAATGGATGATGATTCTCTTGGAATGAACCGTATCGAAGTGCTGTGCAAAGAAGTAAGCGGTTACTATTAATGGGTACTAACGTTAAATGGTCAGCGCGACATATCTAGCGATATATATATATATATATATATATATATATAAAGTTCTAGCCTCAGCAGCCCTCTCTCCCTAAAATCCTCGGTTTTGTTTTTTTTTTTT